ATTTTATTGATTTCTTGACTAATTAATAAATACTAATTTAATAGAAATTAGGTTTGATGTTCTGTTTAGAAAATTGATGATTATCAAAAACTATACCGGGTGCGTCCCAAAAGTGGCTCACCCCTATAACTTTTTTATTTTTTTAGTTAAAAAAACGAGATTTGGTATGTTAGTATATGACATAAATTAGGATTGGTTGACGTATTCAATTGTTTTCGGTAACTTCCGGTTTCACCGGAAATGACTACAACTTTTGATTTTTAAATGGCACCCCCGGTATTTTTTACTTCATTCGATAGAAAATGTCACTCTAAATAGAATGACATATCATATGTCAACTTTTGACATTTTCGCATATGGTTTATTTGAAATTAAAACTTGCGGTTCGTAACGAAAATTTGACTTGAAATACCAAATTTGTGGTATCAAATTATTCGTAAAAAAATGCTTTTTCCAAATATGCTAATGAGCCTCCCTCGTTCCATTTGACAAAATTGAAATATCATTAAAAATACGATTAGAGCATTTTCTAACTGGCCATGACAAGATACTAAAAACATTAGACGATCGAATCTATTTTTCCAAGGATCCTCGGTGAAAAATTATTGTTTTTAACATAGCCATGGCACTTAAGCGAGAATGTCAAAAGTTGACATATGATATGTCATTCTATTCAGAATGTCATTTTCTATCGAATAAAGTAAAAAAATACCGAGAGTGCCATTTAAAAATCAAAAGTTGTAGTCATTTCCGGTGAAACCGGAAGTGACCAAAAACAATTGAATACACCAATCAATCCTAATTTATGTCATATACTAACATACCAAATCTCGTTTATTTATCTGAAAAAATAAAAAAGTTATAGGGGGTGAGTTATAGGGTACTTTTGAGACGCACCCGGTATACTCAGATGCAAAAAAATCGCAACGGGAAAAATGTTCGTCTAATTTAAAGTATTAGATATATTATTATACAAGTTTATTATTATATTATTTATTATACATATTTTTGTATAATGGTTATTATTTATTTATGTTTTCTTTATTATCATTAGTTCTGTTATTAATATTAATATTTATTATTAAAACCAAGAAGTATGGTTACTCTTTGATTTTTTTTTAATTTAGTTAAATATCTAATGTAGCTCATTATTACATTACGACAATAATCACCAAAACCACCTCCTCATATTAGAAAATAATATTAAAAAGTAATGATAATTGAAAAAATGGCAAATTGTTGGTGGTAAGTTGAATAAGCTGAAAATGATGAATGATGATAACGCAAAGTACAATAATTGTATTATACTAATATAATTTCAATTTTAAAAATTATTACAATGTCATATTATGTCTATATGACTGGTTTCCGAAGTATGGCATTTTTTTAATTTACTTGATATTACGCAGAATGAGTTTAAAACATATAAAATATTTTTCTTCGACATATCAAATTTATCGATTATATCTATCATACCTAAATGTCTTATACAACATAATTGATTCATATTTAAGATCACATTCTCTTTACACGTTTTGATCTAGGCATAGATAATAATATAATATCCGGAAGTATTTATTAATTTTTAATATGTACAGGAATTTAAAAAACACGTATCTGGATGCAAACTATTAATTTATTTAGTTATTGAAAATTAATAAAATACTATTATAGAATGCAAGGTTAATTTTGATCAGCTGCTGTATACTGTATTATGGTGCATTATCGATAGCTGAGGTAAAAGAATGGGAACTTGGTGTTAATAGTCCCCTAGCGCAAGATCAATACTTCAAAACTGTAGCTGAAAATTTCAAAAATATTACCAATAAGGGAAAATTAAATTTCAAGGTAAAAAACTATTGAGGAATATACCATAAAACGATTTGTGTTAGTGGATTATGCGTAAAAATACCTATCGACAAGAATATAATATGTTAGTTGGAATCTGAGACATTTTGATTTTTAACTATATTTTATATGAATATTTTCGAAAAAAGTTGATTTTGCTTATTTTAGAATATAATAGCTGTAGTCCTAAATGGGTGTACTTTACAAAAAAACTATTTCGTTTTTGAGATTTTGTGGTTTTTTCAAATTAGTCAGGATCTGTTAGAGGTACCATGATTGTACGGTTTGAGTTAGTAGATTCTAAAACAATTTGAAAATCGATTTTGCTTATTTTACAAAACGTTGTAACCTTGTAGTCTTGTTGTACTTTTAGTAACCTACTGCACATAAAACTTAAGTATTTTCTTTTATTAAGTAATTTAATATTTTTATATATAATAGCTCAAACAGCCTAAAAGGCTCATGGCTTGATTGGTTATCTTTCTCCATTTGTTTCTGTCTTTCACCTTTATTCTCCACCCATCCACTTTTATCCTTATCAAGTCCTCTTCAACATCCTTTTTCCATCTCGTTCTCGGGCTATCCCTCCTTCTCTTTCCACCTATTTCACGTTTCATTATCATACTAGGAATTCTTGCTTCTTACAATGTGTCCCAGCCATCTCAGTCTTTGTGATACTCCCGTTATAGTCAGAACCAATGTTGTCTATCTTCTTTCCTCTAAAAATCTTCCTCAGTATTTTTCTTTCCCAAATCGCTAGCCTCGAACTTTCGATTGCATTGAACGTCCATTTTTCACATGCATACAGCACTATTGGTCGTATCATTGTTTGGTACATTCTGATTTTTAAACTTCTAGAGATGTTATTACTTTTAATACTTTTCTATAGTGCGGTAACATATCTATTTCCTGCCATTATTCATGCCACATTTTCCTGAGTTACATTTGGTTTCCTTAGAAATACTGTTCCTAGATATGTGAATGTATCTACTTCCTCAAACTTATATTGTTTCCCTTTCTCAGAATCTATTTGTCTGTATCTATATCTATCTTTACTTCTCAAAATCCCTATCTGATCACTCCATAAATTCCGTTTTCTTCTTATTAAACTCATCATATAAACGTGAAAAAAAATTGCAAGATCGCAAGAGTTTTGCATGTTTGATCTTGGTCTTGCGGAAGTATTGCACTGGGCGGTTTTTTGTTTTGGTCTTACAGTTTAAACGATAGTCTTGGCGAAGACCAAGACCGCAAAATCAACAGCAATCTTGCTCATCACTATCCACAAGACCCAAGAAGTCCATTACAAGCCATATACAAGCTTTGAATAAGGCGCTTGTCATAAGGGTCCTTTGATTAGTTATGCTACCTTTACATGCTTGACAAGAGCTTACTCGGTTTATTTACTTTATTCGATAGGAAATGACACTCTGAATAGAATGACGTATCATATGTCAATCTTTGACATATTCGCTTTAAAAAACATGGTATTTTAAATTTTAATTATGTAGTGTGGAGATGAGGAGAAAAATCTCTTAGGGACTTTATTTGAAAAAGTAGTCACAAAAATGGGAAGAATAAGGGTCCACCAAATAACCACAGTGGCGCTAATGATACATAAATCTAAAAAATGAAAAGTAAGCATAGATAAGATAATAAAAGTAACATAATCAAACATTACCCAAAAAAGTTTTTTGTTTTTATCTTTAGAATATTAAACAATTATTTTTATATATTAGAGGCCCACTCTATTATTGCTGAATAAAAATCGATAACTTATTTCATATGACATGAAAATAAAATTTGTATTTTTTTGAAACTCGCGCCTTCACGTCAAATATTTATCTCTCTTGAATCATTTCCTGTTCTAAAAATTTTCGGCGCATATTTTAAATTTTAGGTTTTTGCTACAGCAGCGCCATCTTAAGTCTTCCCTTTTTTATGACAATTTTTTAACGCACGAATATATTTCTCCTTACCTCTACACTCCATAATATCAATCTAGAGTGGCATGGCTGTGTTAAAAACAATAATTTTTAATCAAGGAGCCTTGGAAAAATAGATTTGATTGTCTAATGTTTTTAGTGTCTTTAGTGTCCAGGCCACAGCAATGTGGTGGGCAACCAAGAAGGAGACAGACTCGCCAAAGAGGGCACTAGGGGAAAGGCTGAGGCAGATGCAACTAACCAGACTCACCAATTGTGACAGTAAACACACTGAAGGAAGATATAGGAACTACCATCAAGGCTAAGCAGCAAGAGACGTGGCAACACTGTGAGCACTGCGCTACAGCTCGAAGACTGTGGCTAGTGGTAGTTAGCAAAAAAACAAAACAACTACTAGAGCACAAAAAGAACCTAGTACACATAATTGTAGGTGTTATCAATGGAAACTGCCCCTCGGGGGTAAACCTCGCGAGATGGAAGATTTCCAACGACGACTACTGCAAAGAAAGCGGATAGAAATAAGAAACCATAGAGCACCTGCTGTGCCACTGTCCGGCACTGGAATATCGACGCTTTAAAACTTTAGGGCAAGGTTTTTTGGAGGGACTAGAGGAAACAGCAGAAGCCAACATCAGCAACATCGGGAACTTTGCAAAGAGCTGGTAGTGCTTTAACGCAAAGAAAGAACGAGAGGAAGGTTTGATACACTAATAACAAGGTTATCGCAATGGGCCCAATGCCTTCGAGTGAGGGACTATGGTGTAGCTTACCATAGTTGGAAATGGTTAAATAAGCTGAAAAAGTGAAAATGATGATGATTTCATTATTAAGAGATACGAGTATTTGACTGTATATTTTCCTATGTATTTATTTCTAATAAACGAACCTGTACTATGTCCGCCACTGCCTCACATGGGCATTATTGATTCAGCCACGAGAAAAATCCTTTTTACATATCGATCGTTTCCCAGATAATACAGCGACATTAATCAGTCAAGAATCTTCGAAGTACTTGTTAATTATTCAGAGAAAAAAACCTGCTACAATAACAATAACTCGGCTACCGTCACGACACGAACCTACCGTCAACAACGTCAACACACCGCAACAACGGGCCGAGAGATCCGATATCTTCGTCGAAGACCGACAAGGTTAATCGCCTAGCGGCAGTACCGGTACCCGCTATAAATTCACAAGATCTCTTGCAAAATCTTTCAGTCGTTGATTTTTTCGCGCGCAGATCACGTCGGGAATTGCCTTAAGATTCGACATCTTTAGCGCTAGCCCGGCCCTGTACTCGCGCCCTTTGGTACTACCGCGGGTACCTGAAAAAAGTCACGAGATTCAGTTTTCTGATAATACAATTTTGAAAATATTTTTTCTAAAGTGAGGTGTGTTTTTTTTGTTGGTTTTCACTAAATACTTTGACAGTACTACCAATAGTCTTGACAACCCAATATTGGGACTTTATATCCAGAAAAATTCTAAAATTGATCTTTTTAATTCAAAAAACTACTTTCATCATTACTTATTACTTTTAATTTTTACTTTCTACCTTCACTGTCTTGCTTTTAATAACAGAGCTGTTTAAATTCCTGTATACCTTTAACGGAAATTGGACACAATTCAATCATATTTTCTTAAGTTATACACATAAATTTGAGTTAGAAATCTGTTTTATTGATTCAGGATTGTTGTGTAAGTGTTAGTGAAGATGCCCCCTCAAGAAGTCGTGAACGAATCTCAAAGAAGTGCTGAGGATCGTCAGTGCAAGGAAAAACATGAGTTGGAAGGGTAAGGAAATATTTATTTCTCCTGTCAATTATCATTGGCGTAACTACTGGCTACAGGGGTGCCCGTGGGTGCCCCCCCCCCCTGGTGCTGCTGGGCACCCTCCAGGGAAATCCGGAATTATGACTCTTGGTTACGTATTAATTTTTATTTGCTTGTGATGCAGTAAAAATGACGTTTTCTAGTTTTGTTTAGTTAATATTATTTTGTTGTGTTCAAAAAATGACTTAATTTTAATTTTTTAGAGAATTTGTAGGTATTTAAGTAATCTACGGGAACACTGTTTGATAACCAAGTCTATGAAATTTATTGATAGAGAAATTCATGTAAACGTTTTATTCAAAAATGTGTTTCTTAAAATTATTTTTCATTTAAAAAAAAACAAAAGCTCTAGGCCCCCCCTAAACTCAACCCCAGGTAACAAACCAAGACCATGTCAACCGTCTTCTGTTATGGACAGACGAGACCGATTTTGAACATTTCACGTGGAATTAATTAACCCAGTGGGGGTGAAAGATACCCTCGCATAAACGCTAAATACTTCTAATTATTATCTAGATACGGGTAATTTAAGAATAAGAACCTTTCTTCTTCCGCAAAAATAAAAATCCATAGGCGCTAAGTCCGGCGGCCCTGGCGGACTCGATGGCCAACGGCTGGGATCTTGGTTAGCTCTTCAATTATTCTCGAAATTGGCTGCAAAAATTTGCTGATAAGTTCAGCGTTCTGAAGCGGTGCATCGTCTTGCTGGAAAAATATGTTTTCGGGTTCTATTAGGAACAGATAATCAATAAGGGGTCCAAAGCGTACTAGTTAAAAGTGGCTAACTTTTAAAAATTCTGTATTTCGAAGGGGACTATAACAAAATATCAAGTTCCTATATTTCTAGAAAGGTAAGTTTAAGCTTTTTTTCAGTTAAATAAAAATATACAGGATGTCCCTAATAAAAAATCAATTTTTCTGTTGATAACTCTTAAATTATTAATTTTAAAAAAAGTATACTTAAACCATTAAATTCTAGGTAAAAAGGTGCTTTGGAAATGTTTTAATAAAAATACAACATTTTCCATAGCAGAAAAGTTAGAGCGATTTGTTAAAAAAGCACATTTTTGAAAAACACCCCGTAACTCCGAAACGATAACAGATATCGATGTGCGGTTTTCACCATCATGTTTTTGATAAAAGTTGAGCTTCAGACACCGATATTAGTTTTTGTCTATCTCCTATAGAAAAGGGTGTTTCCCTTTAAAAGCGTCCAATTTGACCCACCCCGTACATTGACTTAAGTTTCATTGAGAACCTCAAAATTAGCCTCTTAACCTCAACGTTAAAATTAGTGGTAGTAATTTTCAATTAGTAGAAAAAGTTAACAGACCTTTTACTTTTTCCAATAAAGAATATTTTATTCAAAGAGATAATAAAGAAATATTGAATATTATGATTATTTAATTGTTTACAATAACTTACCGTATATAACTGTTTTATTCAAATATCGAAAATTGCATATTAGTTATACTAAATTATCTGAAATTTATATTGATATTAAATGTGAATGAAATCAATAATTCATCCAACGCTGAACGCAAACTAAATTAAATCACAATTAAACTGTTACAAAACTGATTGGAAGAAAAGTGAGTTACTGTAATTTTCTCTGAAGTGTAATGATATATGGAGTGTTTAAATGAATAAGTGGCTAACAAATTTGCAAAGTGAATGCTTTTTAAAAATAGAAATATTTTCATATAAAATTTTTCGATTTGTTTTTCCCTACATACAGGGTGATAACACAGTTCAAAAAAGCTCTATAATATCAGGTTTCTTATTTGAGATTTTCATTCCAGTCTTTTTTATAAAATATGCAGGCAATAGCTGGACACACTTTGGTTGGTGGTCCAATTACCAGAATTGCAGTTTTGGTAGCACTCAGCTAGTTAGCGAAACGCGCAAAAGTAAAGTAATTTAAAAGTAAAGTAAGTAACCAAGTAAAAGCTTGTAAAAGTGAACATATATTAACATAACAAATGATTTTTTAATCCATTTTAATGTAAAGACTCAATTAAATTGTGAAACATATTCTACCCAACCCACATATTATATTACTTACGTCTTACGTGCTATAAATACTCTAGTTCAAACACCTAAACAGGAATACATTACCATTTTCCTGTATTATATCACCTTTTAACTGAAACAATTAAGTTGTGAAAGAAAGAAAGGGATTATATTTCACTTGTATCAATTTATTTGTAGCTCCTTCAGTTATCCTGATTCCTTTATCTATTGCAATTTAATTATAATAAGTGTAGTTTAATCTCAATTACTTTGTGTCAAACTGTGTTTTTCTTTGCTTCATCTTGTTGGTTAAGCATCTTTTGTTGGCCTCCGAGTGAGGGATCAAACAGAATTCGAAACACCAGCAACCTAACCTAGCCTAACTATACTGTCCAATGCGCAAAAACTAGATTAAAATCGATAAAAATAGTAGGAGATATTAGCCGATTGGGCTCCTCCACATGCGCAGTTCGCTTGACCTTGACATATGTGGCTTTCAAACCTCCTTGAGTGATTCCAGAAAGAACCTTGTTGTGAGACCTTAAACGACCTTTAAGGTTGACTTTCAGATGTATTTGAAATGCGTTTGTGTACCCTTCACAAGGAGCTTGATGGACAATCTTGAACGACCTGTAAGATTGACTTTCAGATGTCTTTGAAATTAGTCACCATGAATGTTCTTCTAGGCTGCCAAGGTGGGGGGGTAGTTTATCATTGTGTATATAAAGCGACTTTCATGGAAACGTATTCAGATATAGAATCTCTTGTAAAGTAACAAGTCGTGTGTATACATTCCAAAGAAACATTGTGTGGTGTATTCAAAAGTGTTTGAAGGTATATTGCGTATAAAGTTTTTTCAAATATTTATTACACATTTTTTTAAAATGAGTATTTCAAAAGAATACATTTGAACAAATTAATAAAAAGCTTGAAGAAATTGAATTAGTCGAACGTAAATCCATATCATCGTTGACAGTGGGAAAAAATATATATTATTAAAAATATGGTGTCGATGACAACACGTTTTGGAAAAACAATTCTAGCAACATTACACGATAAAACAAGTAACTTAACATTCCAATCATTTCTACCAAAACGTGTTGTTCAGACTTTCACAGATGATCTAGTACAGCTCATAAATAAATTCGATGATAAATATTATTTATGTTATTTAGGGCAGAGTTCGGTATTAGCTGGTGGAAATACTAGAGCCCTCCTTAATTTTGGTGTGTTGGAGTAAACATTTATTAATATAATATTAAAAAAAAAATGTAATAAAATGTTAAGTAACTTGTAATAATTACATTCATTGAATACTCACACATGTATTCTTGTTAAAGATGTGCGACGTTGTCACTGAAAAGTATGATTCTAATGCATATGATGAAGGCCAAATGTTACACGTTTATAAATTAGCTGTACAATTGAGAAAAATATGTGGCGACACCCTGAAATTCCTAAATCTTCTTGGAGACAATGATGATGATGAGAAATATATTAAATAACCTTAAAACCTCAATAAACTATCGTATTGGAGCACATTTGTGTGAAAAGTATGTGTATGGTAGCATTAGTCTGGATACATTTTGCTCTGAAATGGTGGAGGAAGATTTAAGAAGTTTTTTGCCAGAATTCCACATATCCCAGATGATATTTCTGAGAAATATCTCCTCTATGAAGAGACATTTTCTGCAACCATCAATCCAGCATTACAAAAGACGAGAACCAGTAGTGTCTCGAACGATGTTGACACAGTAGATAACATGGAAGTCGATGTAGCAGCTAGCCTAGGCTAATACATTTTATACCTCCACATTATATATTTACCATGAAAAACAAATTGTAAAACGTCATCAATAAATATGTTACTACTACTATCACCCTGTTTTTTTATTATATATATTTTATATAAATAAGAACAATTACTGAAAATATTTTAGTTATAGTTGAATATGGCTCCTGTTAACAATACAGTTGACAAGTTTGGACGCAAAAGAAATAATATCAAAGTGCGTACAATACGTGAATTTGCTGCTGGAATAGGATTTAAATTAACATCCAGTGGAGATTACGACATAACTCAAAACGTTTAACGAATGTCGCTCATCCTAGAGATAAGACAGATGCTATAACAAAACAATATATTGACAAGGAACTTGTTCAATTGAACAAAAGCATTTGCAAATATATTGAATAATGATGTGGAAGAGAAAAATGATGAACGCGATAAAAAAAACTGTGGAAGAAAAACGCGAGAATACATCAAAGGATTATCGTGTTAGAAAAAGAGTAAATCATATTATTAAAACTGAACAACAGGGGGTGTTACTCCACTTAAATAATAAATTCATATAATAATAGTACTTCCGTAGAAAACAGTTTAGTTCAGAGATGGCGACTAACAAAACAATTGATAAAATTCGGTCGTAAGAATATTCATGATACTGTAGAAGTGTTGCGCGCAGCATGCCAGGAGTGGATATAAATTAACACGCAGTGGTGACTATAACATTCAAGGAAAACGAAGAATGTACCTTAGTGGAGCCAATAGATAAGGTTGATGCAGTTGCAATGCAATATGCAGATGATAAAATACATAAACAGTTGAAGTGTTGCGCAGCATACCCGGAATTGGATATAAATTAACACCCAGTGGCGACTATAACATTCAAGAAAAACGAATAATAAACCTTAGTGAGCCAATAGATAAGGCTGATGCAGTTACAATGCAATATGCAGATTATAAAATACATAAATTACAAGACCTTTTATACTCGTATATAATAACTAAAGGATTTTATGACTCTAATATTGGCAAAGTTGGAATCTGAGATAGAACACAATAAGCCCAAATACGTGACGAGGATTGCAATTCTGGAAGACCAGCTGAATAAGTTTAAGGATACTAGGCGTTTGACGGATATCTCTGAACATATATTGGCAAATGT